TATTCATTTGAACAAAATTAATTAAACAAATAAGAATTGATTTCAATAATCAGTTGTTCAATTGAATTTAATATTATATAAATATTATTATTTATCAAAAAAATCAATATTGTTGACTATATTCACTATAGAAATAATCATATAGTGATATATTAAATTAATCTTTAAATTATTTTTATTTAAGAAACAAAATAAATAATCTAAATTTCGACTATTTATTTTCTATCAACATAATTCATATCCTTGATCATTGACAAAAGAAATATTGTTCGATTCATAAGATAATATATAATCTCGTCAATATCGCTATTCATATGTTGATGGTTTCAATTACTCAATTAGATTCTTGAATGAGATACGTTTTTTGTTTTCATCATATATATAGAGATTTTAGATCAAATTTCTCCTGGAGAACATAAGATATAGATATCAATTAGAGCGATTCATAGAAACATTCTCAATAGATTCCTCCTGTTGACATATCTACTCGAGTGCTACATCATTAATCACAAGTTTTTCCTATAATAAACTGTTCAACAATTCTTAAACTCACTCTCCATTATTCGTTTCAATATATGATTTGTATTTGAGAATGCTATAATCAATATATATAAAGTATTGATGTTTTCTTGCCAATATTTTTCTAGTTTTCGTCAATAGTAAACATTTTCGAATGTGATAGAAATCATATCTCGACAAGCTCTATTGAAAAACATAAAGAATATTCCTAGAGATCTGTGGGACAAACTTTCTCGTGTCCCGTTCCGAAAAATTTTTGCCGTGAGACGGGATTTTTCGGGATTCGGGACTATCCCGCAGTATTCTAAATATTCCTGCTATTCGACTATGCTTTGGTATGGTGTACCGTTTATTGACATATTTATTAGGCCGAAAAGTTTTTTTTTAGAACACTGACTATCCGTAACTCTATAGAGAAATTCATCGTGATGTGAAGTTCTTTTGTTAAAAATAGCTTGATGTTTTCATAGATAGTAACTATGTAGATGACAATAAAGTCAGAATTTTATTGTAGAGATCATCTGATACAAACAATCTTTAGTAATTTCATGTCTGACTACATTAAAGAAGTTTATCTCCGATTTGAGTTCGTAATTAACATTTGAAAGTGCTTTTTTTTTTCTATAGATGTAAGTACTATAAGAACATTAGTGATTATCATCATTTGTTAATAGATTTAATGATCTAATTTGTGTATGTATACATAAAAGTTTGATTTTTTTTGTTTGTTATATATAGTTGTAGGAAAATCTGAAAATATTCATCATTTAAGTGCATCAATATTTGATTCATTATATTCTTCAAATATATCTTTAAATATAAATATTGATGAAGATAAAACAATAAATCTTCATGGTTTTGGTATAAAAAGTATTGAATGGAATACATTTATAAATTATAATAAATCAATTCGAACAATAATACTTTCATCAAATTATCTTTCTTATATTCCAAATAAAATTTTTTCAAATTTTAATAAAACATTAATTAATCTTAATTTACAAGATAATGAATTAAATTGTTTAAATAATAATAATTTTTTACGATATCTTAAAAATTTACGTCTACTTGATATAAGTAAAAATAAAATAAATAAAATCATATCAGAAAATTTTTATGGTCTTAAACGTTTAGATACATTAATATTACGTGAAAATAAAATAAATTCATTATCAAATAATTTATTTATTTATTGTCAAAAATTACGAACACTTGATTTATCTGATAATAATATATCATATATTGATATAAATGCATTTTATTTATTAAATAATTTAAAAATTCTTTTATTAAATAATAATCCATTAGGTGAATATATATTAACAAATAAATTATTTAAATCATTAAAAAATCTTGAATATATTGATCTTGAAAATAGTCAAATTAAAAATCTTTTACCATTTTTATTTATATCAAATAATAATTTAAAATCAATTAAATTACGAAGAAATTTTTTTACAATAAATCAATATAATTTATATTTAAATTCAAATATGATTTTAAAACAAACATTTTGTGGTACTAAATCATTAATTGAAATTGATCTTGTTAATACAAATTTAAAAACACTTGATATATGTACATATCATCAAATTCCAACATTACGTCGTCTTTATTTAATGAATAATCCACTTGATTGTACATGTGATTTATTTTATTTAAAATATGGAGATATTTATCGTCTTTTAATAAATCATCTTAATAATAGTGATCAAATAAATCAAAATATGGATATTTATCTTAATCATTGGATATCAAGACCTGAACTTCGACGACATTTAGAAAATGCATTTATACGTGGAGATATTCAACGTTTACCTATTGAATTATCTTTATTTGCTCGTTGTCAAACACCAAAACAATATAATGGATATGAAATTGATAATATAACAGGAATTTATAATCAATGTATATATCGATGGATAGATATTGAACAACAATGTAAAAATTATTGTTTATTTAATCATCATATTGAAAATTATTTTATAACTAATAATTCAATATTATTACAATATAAACTTTTTATTATTCTATTAAATAATTTTTATTTATTTCTAATTAGATTTCTTTTTTTTTTGTAACCCGGTGATATTTGATGTAGTGTTTAATAAATCAAAAAAAAAAAAAACATTTTTCGATTGATAATTTTATTTTCAATAGACTAATATTATAATTTGTGGAATTCAAAAACAAATTAAAATAAATTTATTTCTAGAATTTTTTGATTTTATTGTATGTTGATGAGAAAAATAATTTGAAACTAATTTATGTATGAAAGATTTTATGATCATTAAGCTTTGTTTTGTGCTTTTTTTTCTTTTTAATTCAATATAAACAATATGTTTATATTATCCTACGGAATTTGTCATTCTATATTTGTTGTAGATATAAAGGCATATGTTCATGGAGAGATGATAAATGTTGATTTATTAGAATAATCAATCTGATAAGATTAATATTGACCTCATAGAAAAAAAAAACAGAATAGTTTACAATACTCAATGATAAATGATCACTAGATATTGATTGGCCATTCTTTCAACAGATCAACCATTTTCCTCCGGATTAGATTTTTCTAGTACAACAAATGAAAATATTCTGAATTAAATCTTCTATATTGTCAAATATATGATCCAAAATGTTACGCAACAATTGTGTTCATTTTCAAGGCTGATCGCTTTTCTTTTTTGACTTTTGACGAAAATATTTTGCATTCTGCTTCATTAACCATGTTGAACGAAATTATCATTTTTTTTCGCGCCTAAATAAAAGCATTGCAACTAAAATTTTTAAAAAAATCATTGTTGAAAAGACTCAGTTAAAATCCTCATTAGGAAGTATACTTCAAATGGATTTATAAATATCGAAGAATGAATTAGTCAAATTCATAAGATCTCATTGTTCGAATAAGAACTATTGGTATACCGTGGTAGAATCGATATCAAAAGATAGACAACGTAAATAACCATCGGTTTACTGCATATTATATTGACAGTTTTGTGTTTTGAATCATGCGGGACTTCATGTTTTTCCAATACATCAGAAACAATACTTCGCAGTTAGAATTTAGATAGTAGATATCAATACAATACCAAAAATTTCATTTTAAATGTAAAGCTTACAGATTTGTTAAGTTTAAAAATTTTTATTTTATCATATATGAAGGAATACTCTATTTATCAATAGTAAATGAAACAAATATTCTACTTATATTTAATCTAATATATAATACTAAAAATAATATCTTTTGGGATTTAAATATCGACTAATATTCGACTTTTTTTATTTAAAAAAAATTAATCATAACTTTCTACAGGTTTGGCAAAATCTTTAAGACAAAAAATGGTCAAATTTTTGCCATCTTAGAAGAAAGTGGAGAAACTTATAATATAAAATTATGAGAAACAAAAAAAACAACAAAAACAGATAAAAGAATAGAAAAATCAAAGTCAAGGAAGAATAAAGTATCTATATAATAATAATAATGATTGTGTTAAGCGACCTCTAGTCATATTGATATGGAATGGGAGAATAGTTTTGATTGAGTGTTACTTTTGAAAAAAAAAAGAAGAAGAAAGATAAATTTTGATATAATATATTTATAATGAATTCTATTTTGAATAAATCATCTATTGAAAATATATCATTATGTGTTTATATTGGAAATACATGTTCATTTGATGATGATATATTAATAAATTATTGTTCACAATATGGTCGAATAATTTCATGTACAATAGATAAATGTCCTAATGAAAAACGAATTTTTTGTGATTTTCGTATTATTGAATTTAGTAATAAAGAAGAATTAGAAAAATTTCTTCATATATCATTACATAAAATTGATTTAATTGAACTTGATATTAAATTATATAAAAATTTATTAGATAATATTGATATATTAAATATTGATCGTAAAATATTTATTGGACCAATATTTAATTTAAATGATATAAATATAATAATTGAATTTTATAAATTAATTGATCAAAAAATAAAATCTTATATATCAAAACAAAATAAACAAATATATATATTAATTGAATTTAGTAATAGAGAATTTATTCGTACAATAATTAAACAAAAAACAATTCCAAAAATAATTGATAATCAAATATTAAATATACATACAGCTATAAATCCTAAAGAATATTTAAAAAATAATATTTCTTTAGAAAATAATCATCATCAAATTATGATTTATGGATTAAATGATTATATTAATGAAAATATATTAATGTAAGATACTTATTTAAAAAACAAAAAACAAAACAAAATTTTTTTTTTCTAGGGATTATTTTGATAAACGAGCAACAGTTGTTGCTTGTAAAATTATTCCAAATGATCCAAAATGTGCAATAATTGAATTTGAAAATGAAAAATTTGTTCAAAAATTTCTTGATTTACATTTTATTTATTTAAATGGTACAACTCTTTCTTTAAATAAAGTATCAAATCATTTTAAATCATCTATTAATATTAATCAACAAGAATATACTAATGATTATATTGATTATTTACTTGAAACAACTCAATTAAATTTAAATAATTCATCTTCTACAACAGAACAAAATCAAACATTTTTATCACAAATATCAACAGTTCAACAATTCAATTGTGATCAACAAGAAAAATCAATTTCAAATATTATATCTCAATCATCTTCTTTACTAACAGAATCAATAGATGATTCTTCACCAGAGTAAGTTTCATTTGTTTTTTTTTTTTTACAAAACTGATAAGTAGATTTTCAAATCAAATATCAATAAAAAAAAAACTAATTTTTACAGTGAGGACTCAAAAAAGCATGTACATCTTTGTTTTTACGCATAACCGAATAATAAGGATATTCTGAAAATTTTCTCTCATATTGGACTTTGTAGTAGTGTCCTGCGGGAACGACTTTTTCTGATTCCCATTCCCTATTCCCATTCCCTAAAAAAAAATTTTTGTTCCCATTCCCTTTTTCCCATTCCCTAAAAATTTTCTTTTGTTCCCATTCCCTTTTTCCCATTCCCTAAAAATTTTTTTTTGTTCCCATTCCCACGTTCCCATTCCCATAATTCCCATAAGGTTTTCCAAGGCTCTATTCATCTATGCGAAAGTGTCATTGGCATATATGTATACCAGTTTCTCGAGACATCACGTTTTGCGCATCGCGACGTTGTTACATAGTGCTTCACTTCTTTTCTTTTCCTGTTTTGTTGCTCTTGTTGGCATTGGTTAAGCAGGTGTTCCTTCGTATATGCACTATACATATACATTCAAGCTGGTGTCCCTTTTCATTAAAAAAGTGTTCCACCGTCTAATTAGAAAATGTATAGTCAACCTAGTGTTCATCATATAGAATGTTCCTCTTATAGTAAAGTGTTCCCCTCCCCTCACCCAAATAGAAAATTAAAAAAGTTATAAATAAATATTGAGATTATTATTGATAAATCATTTGTTTTTTGTTGTAAATAACCTTAATATTTATTTATAATTTTTTTTATTTTCTATTTGGGAGAAGGGAGGGAAACACTTTACCGTAAGAGGAATATTCTCCCTATATGATGAACACTATGTTGACTATACATTTTCTTATTAGACGATGGAACACTTTTTTAATGAAAAGGAACACCAGCTTGTATGTATAGTGCATACACGAAGGAACACCTGCTTAACCAATGCCAATATTTGTGATGATTAAATTACGATGTGGTTAAGAACCAATAAGCAGTCTATTTTTTGCTGATACACATTTGTTATTTTTCTGTTAATTGTATATGAATAAGAAAAGTTATTGAAAATAAACAGTTATCAGATAGAAATATTTTTATGTGTATTGAAAAAAGATAGAAAGAATTTTGGGAACGTCAATTTTTAATTCTGTTCCCATTCCCATGTTCCCATTCCCTAAGTCTAAATGAGAATTCCCATTCCCTAAGTCTAAATGGGAATTCCCATTCCCATGGGAATGGGAATGGGAATGGGAAAATTAGGGAAAAAAGTCGTTCCCGCAGGACACTACTTTGTAGAGCTTTTTTCGCTGATCATTATGGTAAAAAAAAGTTTTTGATTTTCATTGAGTAATGACGATGTTATAGTTAAAATACTAAACACTGTAATATAAAGTAGGGAAAAAAGTTTAGCACACTTTTAGTATTTGACTAATTTTTACGTTATTTCACAACATCTGAAAGATGTTCTATATATCATTCGACGCCGAATTTAATGGGCTACATTTTGATAACAAGCACTTATACTTATATTGCAGTTAATTAATTAATTAATTAACTAATACGAATTAGCAATTAATTAATACTAATTAGCAATTAATTAATAATAATTAGCAATTAATTAATAAAATTTTGAGTTTTTTTAAATTCCAACTCTTTCATATGAAAGAGCATAAAAAATTGAACAAAACTCTATAATTGCTATTTGGAAAGCAACGAATTTAGTGTGATTTTCAGAGTATGTTCAGTTGTAATTAGATATAGTATGTATTACAGTGTGTAGTATTTTGACTATAACATCGTCATTACTCAATGAAAATCAAAAACTTTTTTTTTTACCAAAATGATCAACGAAAAAAGTTCTACAAAGTCCGATATGAGAGAAAATTTTCAGAATATCCTTATTATTCGTTTATGCGTAAAAACAAAAATGTACATGCTTTTTTGAGTCCTCACTGTATCAATGATTTTAGTTTAATTTTACAATTCAATCATGAACAGGTTTATCGATTATTTTCCTTTGAAAGAAAATGTTTAAATCTCACAAAACAATCTTTAATTCTTTTATACAATTGAAATAGAAAATCATTTTGAAAGTGATATTTTTTAGCTTCTGCGTCTATGAAAAAAAATAAAGAGAACACTTAGGACAATCGTCAAATAATATATAGTTTAGCAATATATGTTTCAATTAATAAAGAAACAAAAATTCAAGAGTAACAATTTTTTTCTTGAGTCAATCGTTTGATTAAAGTCGATGTTTTTCTTTAAAACTAATCTCATTCTTGAATATGAATACTATCGAAAGTCAATGATTTTCAATTTTCAATTTTTTCTAGCAAACTGTTAAATTTTTATTCATTGTTTTGTTTAACAATTCTCAAAAACCTGCTCAATCCTTCTATCGGTCTCGGAACATCCCTAATCCCATCACTATATTATTTATTTTTTTTACAAAACTTATCTGTTTTAGCCTTTTCGAGGAATATATTCCTAATCATGATGCAGTTAATCATACAAAAAATATATTATATGTTATACATCTAATAGATCATTATTACTAGCTTGAATCAAAGTTTTGGTAAAAAAATTATTCGAGCTCTTAGCACAATGATTTATTCACCATATATCGTAATAAGAGTTATAGTTTATTTTCAAGAACGAACGATCTGCCTGATTTATTTCCGTATTTCGAACTGATTTTTTTTTATTCAATCTGTAGTTTTTATTATGACTTGGTCATTTAATATATATCTAGTGTTGGTATTGTGAGAAATGAAAACAGTACTATTCAATATATTTTATATCTATCACTAAATTGACTACTTTTACACGAATTAAAACATTGAAAAATGTATTCGACCTATTCAAATTTCATGGAACGTCTAAGTCTTGTTGTTAATATCGTTCAGTTCCTTTTTTTTTTTCGTTGATAATCAACTACAAAAAAGAAATCAGTCTGTGGTCTTTAACTGTTATGGAAATGTGCATATTAATTATTGACCCGAATTGCTAAAGTGACTTTATCAGCATCTATATATATATAATGTTCGGTGTCTATAGCGGATCAAAGGTTAAACATCAAAAAAAGGCTATAAAGGGGGTCAGGCTACAAACGAGTAAGGCAATAAGGGGGTAAGGCTATAAGGGGGTAAGGCTATAAGGGGAAGAAGACTATAACGGGGAAACGCTATAAGGGAGTAAGGCTACATGGGCTATTAGCGATATAAGGATATCACGCCATAGGGCTTCTACGTACGCAATGTCGAGTGTCTATTACCGAGCGAAAGGTTAAAGGTTTGGGGTCGTATGTTAAAGAAAAAAAGCTGTCGTGCAGTATGCACGGGTTCTCGCTAGGTACAAAGATTGTTGAAGGCATTAGAGTATCATCTGTTTCTACTCTGATCATCACACATGGGTCTGGTTATGAACCGAAAAACATCATGTAATAACTGAGATATTTTCCTTGTTTAAATATAAAAATAATTTGAATTTCTAATTGAAAAAAAAAATGTTCTTTCTATTATTAAAATAGTATAAATGAATGTGGTTGGACATCACCACCTCGAAATGTAATTAATCATATTTCTCCAATTAATCAAATAGTTGAACGTTTATCAACACAACCATGTCTTACAACAATGAATATTAATTCCGATTCATTAAATCAATCAAGAATTATTGAAATAGATGAAAAAAAATCAATAAAAAATTTGAAAAAAAATTTATTAAAATTTATTGAAGAATATGAAAATGAAATTGATCAAATAAAAGATGAATATATGATTAAATATACAAAAGATCGAACAAATATTGAACATGAAATAAATCGATTAATTAATGATGAACGAATTTCATTTGATAGAGTTAATCGTTATTTATATGATAATCAACGACATTCAGATAAATCATATGAAAATAAACGAAGATATATTTGATATTTTTTTTTTTTAAATTCATTTTTCTCATAGACATTTGCTTTCGTTTTTTTCTAATAGATTTCTTGTTATTTTGTTTTTTCTACTTATTCTCAAAACTTTTGTGTATTGGTTTTTCTTATATTGAAACATATAGTATATAAAACAAATTCATTGATCTGAATTGATTTATTTATAAGATAGTTATCATCATTTCAGCAGTGTCACATATCCAAAATTTTGGAAATGCATCCACGTCTAGCGCGGAAGATGTGCATCTCTAAAGTAGATAATACATCTCCAGTGGAAAATGACCGCGTCTCCCGCGGAAGATGCAGCATCTCCTGTGAGAGATGTGGGCGTATCTCCAAAATTTTTGATATGTGACGCTACTCAGAAAGATACTCTTAAGATGAGCCTAAAATAGAATATGATGGAAATTTAATATCGACAGATGTCGTGAAAACAAATTGGAAACTGAGGACCTAAATCTCTATTCGTTAAACACTTTTTTTTTCATAAAAACAATAATATGAGTGATGTAGAAATGAAGAAATTCTTCGCTCACATGGTCGATGTTTGTTCTGTTCTTCCTTCCTTCCTTCTTTCATATTACTCATAATATAACATTAGACGTAAAAACTATTGCATCATCTATTGAATAATTGATAGTGTAGTATATATTTGTATGCATCATTTTAAGAAAAAAAAGCAAAGAAAGAAGAATCATTAATTCACATTAGTTTATTTCTATGGCAGTTTCCATTGACGACGAGAAACGTGTTGCTCTATTTAAATCAATTGGTCTCAATGAACAAAAATCTTGGGAAACATTAAAAAATAATGATATAACACGTTTACTTGAATCTACTATTAATGAAGTTAGTATTTTATGTTGTTGTTTTTTTTTTGTTTCTTAAATTCTTATTATGAATTTTAATTCAGGCTAAAACAATTTTATCAAATGAAAATCAAATTTCAAAATCTATTGGAAATCTCTTATATTCTTTATCAACAAAGAGTAAACAACAAATATATCATTTACATAAATATTTAATCAAATATATTTGTGAAGAAAAAATTAAAAATGAACAACAATTAATAGGTATTTTAACAAAAAGAAGAAAAAAAAAAAAGAAGCAAACTTTTGTTTTTATTAATAATAAATATTTTTCTTAGCTGCTATTGATTATCTTCTAACAAATCCAACCGAACCAATAGATCAAAAAGCACTTGAAGAAAGTGCTGGTATTGGAGTTAATGTTACTATAGACGATATTAAACGAGTGGTACGTTCTTTTTATTATATATATTCAAACATTTAAATTAATGATGATTGTAGGTAAAAGAAGTAATCGAAGAAAATAAGTCAAAATTAATTGATCAAGGATATAATTTTTCAATGAATACACTTATAAATGAAGCTCGATATCGTTTAAAATGGGCCGATGGAAGATTATTGAAAAATGAAATGGATAATCAAGTAAAAATTTATCTAAAAATAAAATTTTTGAAAATAAATATTTTTTATTATATATAATTATAGTTAGTTGATTTACTTGGTCCTAATGATCGTTCCTCAAATAATATAACAAAAAAACAAAATGTAAATTTTATTTTATTTAAAATATTTTCTTTTAAAATAAATAATATTTAATTAGAATGTCGTTTCATCAACTGATAAATCAAAAATATCTTCTAAATCAATTAATGATAGAAAGTTTTTAATTTAAAATTTATTTTTCTTTTATTAATTATTATTTTATTTTAGTTCAACCTAATACGAAAATACATTCATTTGCAGAATTAGTTGGTGAAGCTTTAAATTTTCATAAACCAGGTTAAATTTACATAGAATTTTTATTAGAATATATATATATATATATATATTTGTGTTCAGGTGAAAATTATAAAACAGAAGGTTATGTAATGACACCAAAAACACTTGATCTCATGCGAGAACATTTAAAAAAAACTGGCGGACAAGTAAATTCAAAAAAAAACAATAATCATTAATTTAATCTTTTATTATTTTGATTTAATTAAGATCATAACACGATTTCCACCTGAACCAAATGGAATTTTACATATTGGTCATGCAAAAGCAATTAATTTTAATTTTGGTTATGCTAAAATAAATAATGGAATTTGTTATTTACGTTATGATGATACAAATCCAGAAAAAGAAGAAGAAAAATTTTTTACTGGTATTATTGATATTGTCAAATGGCTTGGTAAAATATTCATATATTCAAAACAGAATATGATTTATTTTATGAATATCTAGGTTATGAACCTTATAAAGTAACACATGCATCTGATCATTTTGATCAATTATATGAATGGGCTAAAGAATTAATTCATCGAGATTTAGCTTATGTATGTCATCAAAAAGGTGAAGAATTAAAAGGACATAATGTACCTGAATCACCATGGCGTTATAGACCAATTCAAGAATCTTTACAATTATTTGAGGTTAGATTTTTTTTTTTGTTTTTTGTTTTTTAATTAAATAAGAATATATTTAAAGGATATGAAACATGGAAAATTTGCTGAAGGTGAAGCAACATTAAGAATGAAATGTGTTATGGAAGATGGTAAACTTGATCCAGTTGCTTATCGTATTAAATATGCTCATCATGCCAAAACTGGTGATAAATGGTAAGAAATTAAATCGAAAATAAATTTATTTCAAAGAGTATCAACTATTTTAAATGAAGACATTGAATATAAATATTAAGAAAATATTCGCAACTCATCATCACTGTCTTTTTTTTGATGATAGAGATTATTTATTTGACTATAAAGAGGGGTGCCGATTATAGATATAAACCGAAGGGTAAAACAGCGGCGACGGCTTTTATGATCAAATTTTTTTCCATAGCGGCGACTTCTAAAAAATTCTTAAAATTATCTCTGATTCTGTGGCAGCGGCCCAGCTGTACGATTTACACCTATAGTGCCGACTTACTCTGGAGAGTGCACACCAGCAGTAGGATAAATTTTTATTTCACAAAAAGATTTTTTATTCGTACTTCCCTCCAGACGTTTTTTGGCCAAGGGGGATACCTAGGTATCCCCTGGCTTGACCCTCAAATAGATAAATCTCGGCTTAATTTAATTTCATAAATAATCATTGATAACAATTTCAATTTGGTTTTTAATGAATCAATGAAAATAAAATAGAAATATATTTTTAAATTAATGAATAGTATAATAAAATAATGTTTAAATAGGTGTATTTATCCAACATATGATTATACACATTGTTTAAATGATTCTATTGAAAATATAACACATTCATTATGTACAAAAGAATTTCAATCAAGGTAAAAAACAAAAAAAACCTAACTAATTCATTATCTTTTTTTAATATATATTTAATAAAAATATATTCAAGACGTTCTTCATATTATTGGTTATGTAATGCTCTTGATTTATATTGTCCTGTACAATGGGAATATGGTCGATTAAATCTTCAATATACAGTTGTATCAAAACGTAAAATAGTTAAATTAATTGAAAATAATGTTGTTCGGTAAAAGAAAAAAAAAACTACGATATAAATATATTAATTAAAATAATTATTTATATTAAGAGATTGGGATGATCCACGTTTATATACATTAACTGCATTGAGACGACGTGGTTTTCCACCAGAAGCAATTAATTTATTTTGTGCACGTATTGGTGTAACAATGTCACAAACAATTCTTCATCCAGATATGCTTGATGCATGTGTACGTGAAGTACTTAATTTAAATGCTCCAAGGTATAGATTTTATCTTATATTAATTTTCGAATATTAATTTTTTCTTTTTGTTAAAGAGTAATGGTTGTTTTAGAACCATTAAAAGTAACAATAACTAATTTTCCATATGAAAAAATGACAGAATTAACTGTATTAAATTATCCTGGAGAAGAATCTCGTGGTTCTCATACAATTAAATTTGATTCAGTTATTTATATTGAAAAATCAGATTTTAGTGAAGTAAAAAAAATAATTTCGTAAAATAAATAAATAAATAAAATTTGTTTCATTTTAGAATCCAACAAAAGATTTTAAACGTTTAACACCAAATCAACCATGTGGATTAAAACATATTGCTTTAGTTATTACTATTCAAGATATTATTCGAGTTAGTCTTTTTTCTTTTTTTCAAAAAGAATTATTTTATTTGAAATTAAATCTATTATTTAAAAATAATATGACGAGGAACCTAATTTTTGTAAGAATGCCACATCATTCAACCTATACGTTCTCTAGAAAGATCTAGATTAATATAAATTCATTCAATAGTTATGAATATTTTCATATATAAGTTAAGAGATAAAAATCATATCAATGAAACTTACGTCTGAGTCTTAATAATAGTGGCGTAACCAGAATTTTCCAGTATCCTGGATCTCTGTTAGAGAGCATGGGTCCGAAATGAAAACTTATATACATTGATATTGGACTCAAATGATGAGTTTCTATCGGAAAAAATTTTGAATTAGAGTTTGCAAAAAAAATTAGCATTTTCCTGAGCCCTACCAGAAAATGTTTCACGTCTTTCATGATATGTCGTTTTCAGGAATGCCATCGAAATCTACATCAAATTTCATCGATAGATTTCAAATTTCATTTAAAAAAATTCATCCGTTCAGAAGTTGTGCGGTTTTCAAGTTCTGATAAAATTTTTTCGAAACGTCCCGAATCTTAAAAACGTCATAACTTCTGAACGGATCAACTTTTTTAAATGAAATTTGAAATCCGTCGATGAAATTTGATGTAGCTTTCTATGGCATTCTTGAAAAGGACATATCATGAAAGACTTGAAACATTTTCTGGTAGGGCTCAGGAAAATGCTAATTTTTTTTGCAAACCTTGATTCAAATTTTTTTCCAATAGAACTTCATCATTTGAGTCCAATATCAATGTACATAAGTTTTCATTTGGGACCCATGCTCTCTGATGCAGATTCAGGATACTGTAAAATCCTGGTTACGCCACTACTTAATAATTAAAATGAACATAC